TCGGCAAGGAACAAACGGAATGAGAGAAGGAACGGAGAAAGGAATTTGAGAATGGGCCTATCAAAGATTACGAAAAACGTTCAATTTCTGTAATCTTTATTCCCGTTTGTGACTCCATGAGGGGGTGTTGTCTTGACTGTCAGTATAAAGGGACTCTAGACCGTACCAGAGAAGTCTAAATTATACCGCTTTAAGGAGATATCGGAGATCATCGGCTTCGAAAGAGTGGGGATTTTTCGTGTCCAAGTGCACTATACCCTTTGGTTCAGGATCGGTAATTTTTGCGAGATCTCGCCATCGAGAGAGCAATCGATCAATTTCTGCTCGTTTTATCTCGTTCAGTTTTGATCGTAACTCGGGTTTCAGTTTATCCAGTTCGTCTGCTATCAAACCTGACTGAAAACAATAAACAAATGAAGAAAATAATACACGAAGAATAAGAACAGAATCTATCAACAAAGAAACTAGAGAACTATGTCTATCCCAGTTTCCGACATCGCAAATTCTTGCCACGCATCAAGTGTCAATACCGAATTTCAACTTGTTTTAATTTTACCGCCAAGTCAAATTATCTTTTGATTCGTAAATTTTCTTTTTCCTTTCCTTTGTCTTTTCCAGACAACAACAAATCAACACAAACAATTCTGCGTGATAATAACGTAAAAATGGAAATTTTCAAACACATCAATCAAGACACGTATTTCTTTAGTGTCATAATATCATAAAAAATATCATAATTTTCGAAATTATACCCACGCTTCCACTCTCAAAATTTTAGCATGCGCTCTTTAAAGTATCAGTCACTTTTAAACAAACCCAGATTAAACATATCATAACGTAAAAGAAACAAAAAAGGAGCTTCAGTTCACTTCACTGCAACAGTATAAGGTTTAAAGAAAATAATTGTTTAAAAAACAACAACAAAAAACTATTGCATAAAACCAAAAACTCCTTTGATATATATCACCGTTCAAATCATTCAGAAGAACATCAACGTTGTTCATAAATTTCAATAATTGTCGCGCTTTGGTTTTTGTATTGAAAGAAAGAATAAAGGAAATTAATACGTTCAATTTCGTATAATACTGTGCAACACCTCTGTTGTCAAATAGTTGCTTCAGGCGCAGCCGCACGGCGGGCGGGCGGCCAGCGCAAAACGCGCATTGGCGCCTACAAACCTAAGTGGATACTTCAAGTGTTGTGCAATGCGCGAAGTATCCACTTAGGTTTGTAGGCGTCAGTGAGCCTCTAGCGCTGGCAGCACGCCGCGCGCCGCTCCGCTCTGTTAGGCTATCATAGGTATTATACTCGCATAGTCAGCGTTTTTTAACCCATGATTTTGAAATGTTTGCACACTCTGCATTGATTATTCTCATTTAAATTGATGGGAGAAAAATATGTATCAATTTATCTTGGTTATTTTCTCTCTTTTATTCATTTTTGCAGTTTCTGTCGGCACAACTGCGGCTCATTGAGATTAATGTCGCTTGGAAAAGGTTTTACAAATATTTGCCACGTTTTAAAAATATAAATATTTTCAAAATAAAGTAAGAGTTTCGGAACGAAAAAATGAAAAAAATAAAAAAAAAGTACCTATTCATATATAAGGTATATTGTACATCGAATATTTTAGGGATAGAAATAAAACCAAATATTCACCAATGACTTTTTAAAAAGATGATTCAAAAGGAGAGAGTATTAACATTTCATTTAGAAAATGAGCAACCATAACAACACCTCTTTCTCTCTCAATTTCTCATTTCCATATTGTCAATATACTTTTACATATCGACTAAAATATAACGCTTGGACCAAGTCACTGTTTCTTATTTTACGTGTGGGCGTAAACTACTGGACAAAAAAGGTGCGCGGACAAAAAATCGTTGACAAAATGTCATGAAACCATCCATCGGTGTTTAATCGTGGGGTTTCTAAGGACTTTTTATTTTGTTTGGAAAATTTATTTTTTAATAATATAAACAATATTATCAGATTATATTAATAAAAAAATTAAAATAAATATTAAAATCTGATTGGGAATTTGGAATCACTGAAGTTTGAGGTTTATCGGTTCTCCCTTGAATTGTATTTAAATTCATACGTATATATTATGAAAATGGTTTATACCGAAAGGTCGTTGTTGTCAAGTATGTCCAGCTTCTCCCGTAGGTCAGTGTCCGACAAAAGAATTGAGCCAACCTCTTGTATATATCGCCGATATTCTAGATCCATTTCGCTCTGACATGACGCCGACAGAGATGAAAAAAGGAGAAAAAAATGAAATTGTGGTAAATCAACCAAACTCCAGGGGGCCATTGATGATTCGGCTACATCTCAGTCATTTAGCAAGCATTTTGAAGGTAACGAATTTGGTGCAAAAATATGTATCAACACTGCGAGTGCGTTTCCTATCGAAATTTTTTGGGGGAAAAAATGATTCAATGCTTCAATTTTCTACTCTAAGCGTGCAGATATACGGAATTTGCTTACACTTATGTCAGTGCCTTGATTTGTTGTTCATAAATACATTTTCTCATATCCGGGGTGACACTACCCTTACTATTGTCTTAATAATCCGTTATACATGACAAAGAAAATTCTAGCTAGACAGGATACAACTGAGGGGCCATAAAAATCCTTTCATTCATCGTAATTTCTTAATTTTTACTCACAAACTTATCACTGAGCTCTGGATATTTACGGAGCATTTCTTCAACTTCCTTATCCGATAGTAGCTGATGATTAGGTGATTGTAGTATGCCTCCTTTGATGATTTTCCAACAGGACAAGAAACACACTAATACAAAAAGACGCAGCATTCTAACCGACTAAAATTCACAATCGGATGAATTGATTGTAACTAATTTTCAAACCATGCACTGACACGTTTAGAATACAATTAAAGTTAAGATGGTGAATAAACTCGCAAATCGATAACATTGAGAGTTAACTGTTTCATTACAAGACATTGTCGAGTGATGGTTTGGAATCATTCGCTTTCAAGCGTGTAATGGACAGATCAAACATTCGAGTCAGTACATTCCAAATAAGTGGCGATCGATTGGAAAGATGAATGCTATTGTCCTAGGTTATTGTTGGCGTAGCTCATCGTTTAGGAAGAGAATTTTTGCCATTCATTACTGATTAGGAAGGTATTGATGACTAATTCTAGGATCTGGGTAAAAAGAATTGACCTCTTTTAAACAAATTCTGAGAAGCACAAACATAGCTTCCCAGAATTAATTTGGAAATGCATACAGGGTGATCCAAAAGTCCCTTCCACCCCCTCTAACTTTTTACCTAATTGAGGTAA